TAGTTATAGTTTTAGTAATTGTAAGAGAAAATTACTTGGTTGAATTTTTCTGTTAGTTCAGATTTAAAATATTATTTTCTAAAAGAAGAAGTTACAAATTCGCTTACATCATAGGAAAAGCTAAAAATATATACAAGCCTGAAAGCATGCAACAGCTTTATAATTATTTAGAACGTTAATTATGCTTGAAAAACATGCTAAGTATTTAAAAAGCAATCTCAGTGTCAAAAATAAAAATATTTAAAAATTCTTACTTGTGAAATGAGGCACTACCACCAGCTTTTTCGTGACAATTGTACGCGCTGCAATAGCCAACCATTGCTAATTTCTGGAAGTCGTCCCTACTCCTCCGGATGTGATCAAGGTGACAGCCGGGAACGCGCCAGACAAGGGAGAAAACGCAATGGGTTAGTCTATTCTTATAGGTCCATGTTCGGATACGTATAATGCTCTCAATCACAAAGCAGAAGTTATCTAATTCACATGCTTTTGTTTTAGATATAATGTAGAGAAAATTCAATTGTTTTCAGACGTCCAAAAGCACTTTTTTTTATTCATATAACAGTATGAACAGTATGAAAGTATGAAGCCAAGTTGCATAAAAATCGTGAGAAATTTTAAGAATAAGAAACAGTCGGGAGAACTATATTGTAAATCGGGTTGGCGGGAGAGCGGTCGAAAATCGGGAGTCTCCCGCCTAAATCGGGAGAGTTGGCAACTCTGATTACGGAAGGGGATGTATCCTTATGAATATATAAACACGCTTGAAAAATTTAAAGAAACTCAATTGCCATCTATAGATTTTGAAAGTATATTCTCAGATGATTATAAGGATACTTTCAAACTGTTTGGCAAGCTGTTATATAAAACATTTAGATGAATACCACGATTTATACGTGAAAAGTGATGTTTTGCAATTAGCAGACTTTTTGAAAATTTCAGAAGACTTTGTAAAACCTACTATAGTTTAGACTACGAACATTTATTGACTGCACTTCGATTAACTTGGCAAGCCTACTTGAAAATTATCAATCAACCAATTAACAGATATCAAAATGCACTTATTTATAGAACATGGAATTCACGGAGGAGTATCCATGATTATTCAGCACAAGGCTATTGCAAACAATAAATACCTTAGTCACTTTGATTCATCTAAGAAAAATAAATATATCTTGTATCTAGATGCAAATAATTTATATGGTTGGGCCATGAGTCAACTGTTGCCCTATGGAAATTTTGAATGTATTTCGAACCCAATAAGAATATCATAGAAAATGTTTTGGCTTTACTTGAAGATAGTTTGGAAGTAGATTTCGAATATTCCGAAAAACTTCATGACATGCATAACGATTATCAACTGGCTTAAAAAAAAAAAAAAAAAAAAAAAAAAAAATGAAAATTGAAGCTCATCATTTTTCACCGTATACAGTCAGTGTTTTAAAAAATAATAAATTAGTTCCCAATTTAAACTCTAAATTGAATTACGTTATCTATCATAAAAATTTACAATTATACCTTTCATTACGTTTAAAATTATTGCATGTACATAAAATATTAAAATTTAATCAAACGGCATAGTTGCAATTATATATACAATTTAATACGGACCAGTGTAAAAATGCACAGGCAGGGTATGAAAAAGATTTCTTTAAGTTAATGAACAATAGTGTATACGGTAAATCGATGGAAAAGGTGAGAAGACATGTTGATGTTCAGTTAGTCAATACTGAAATTAAATAAAAAAATGAATAAATTAATAAAGAAATTAGTAGCAACATCAGCCTTTCATAACTTCAAAATTTTGGACAATGAATTATTTGGAGTACAAAGATTGAAAACTGTGTTAATTTAAATAGACCCATTTATGTAGGATAGTAATATTAGAGCTCAGTAAATACCATATGTATAACTTTCATTACAATCATATCAAAAGACAGTATGGAGAAACGGCAAAATTGTTTTTTACAGATACGGATTCTCTTATGTAAGAGATTTCAACTGAAGACGCATATGAAGATATGAGTTTACACATACAAATACATGATACATCAAATTATCCGGAGTCATTCTTTATTCAATACCAATAATAAAAGAAAATTGGATGTTTCAAGGACGAAATGGTTTCAGAACCGATATTGAAATTTATACGCCTGAGACCGAAAATGTATTCTTTACTGTTGAAGGAAAATAAAAAACCGCAACAGGAATCAAGCGCAATATAATTAAAAGAAAACTTAAATATAAAAATTATAGAGAATGTCTACATATACCAGAGAATTGCAACATAATATTCAAAGTATAAATCATCAACCCTTTACCGCTGCTATCAATAAAATAGCTCTCTACTTTTGATGATAAACGTTATGTACTCAATGATGGAGTGCATTCCTATGCAAATGATCATAAAAATATAAAAGATGTTTAATAAGGAAAAAAAAAAAATAGATTGTTGCAACGTTTATAGCGTTGGGTGGTGGTGGGAACAAAAAGAAAAAATTTTTTTGCTCCATATAATTTCCTTTTTATGAGATTTTCTTTAAAGTTCCTTTTTTTCTGTCATAATGTACATTGTATTCAGAGAATTATTTAAATGATTTAAAAATTTCCAAAATAAATTTACTTTTTTCGTCCCTAGGGGGCGTCATGAGAATTTCCCCCATTGCCAATTTTGAAAAACTAAATTTAAATGAAATATCTTAGCAACACGACGTCTACAACTCAACTCATGACGTCATTGGCTCCGCCCTCTGGTAATTTCATTGATGTTGTTGCCCTTGGTCTCGCCTTCAGGTCCTTTGATACAGAACCCCCATTTTGTACTTCTCGGAAGTGCATATAAAATAGGAACGATACAGAGAACCTCATTTTATAGCTACTTCCATTCCATAAATTGTGTTAATCTGGCAACTGGCGCACATATACAGTCCACAAAATCGAACAGGCGGCCTCTAAAAGTAAAATCACAAAAACGTGGTTTTCACAAGGAAAATCTAGCTGATCACAGGCTCAAATACCTATGTCGGCCCGAAGTTAAGCATAGTGGTAAGATCCTTAACAGAAATTTTAAACGCAATTAAAAATTATATCCTTTTAGGGTAGTATGTCTCTGAAAATTTCCTTAATGGCATAGATTTCTGAAAAAAGGGAGATGTTTTTTAAAGCCATAAAAATCTGGGAAAAAAAATGTAGTATAAAAATGCAAGTTTTTTTAGCAAGCATTAAAGCTATTATATAAGAATGCAAGTTTTTTTAAACTCTTTTATAATAAGAGGATTAACTAGGAGTCTAATCTTTATATATATAAGCGGCTAAAGTGTGTGTCGCCGATAGTTTATTGTTGCCACTCGGAAAAATGAGCGCGAAAATTAACGTTTCCGCAGTTTTTAATTAATATCTCGGGCGATTAAAGTCGTACGAAGATGAGAACGGTATCGATGGACTCTGAGGATACGTGTCTCGAATTTCAATTCAGCGCCGTTCCGTAGATATTCGAGGGGGGGGGGAATTGGCACGTAGCCAAAACTCTCTAATAGGGAAAACCCAAGAAAGTGGAAAATGTAGGGAAAAGTAGTTTTTAATTCATATCTCGGCTAATTAAAGTCCCAAGAGGACGCGAATGGTCAAAATGGCGTGCTACGGACCTGCGGAATCCAACGGTGTGCTTCGCTAAGCCCGTGAGCCAGCCGTTTCGAAGGAGATGATGTTACTTCACCCCATATATGTATGCGGCTTAAGTGTCTGTTTGTCGTCGATAGTTTATTGGTTGCTTGCGTAACTGTACTAGGCAATGGGGTGAAGTTGCCACGGCACAGGGTTGCCGTTTCAATTGAGACGCAGACAATTTCCTGCAAAACTTGCCTTTGCTATGACCATCCATAAGTCTCAAGGCAAAACGCTTAAGCGTGTTCGCATTTTTTTAACCTGAGCCTGCATTTGGACACGGTCAACTTTATGTTGCCTGTTCAAGAGTTTGTGAAAGAACGGACATAAAATTTTAAATAATGGATGGTCCTTTGCAAGGGCAAACTTAAAAATGATGGAAAGATCTACACAAGAAATGTTGTGTACAAAGAGATCTTTGACATGCGATTTCATTATTTAAATCACTTTTATTGATTAAGCTAGCGGTGGGCTCTTAAGAAATGTACCGCCAACGGTTTCCTTCACTGCACTCTACTTTAAGCAATTAAGCAAGCAAAATGGGGAAACCACGTGGGGTACTAAGCAAAGGCGCGTCCTCGCCGCCTGCCCTGGGTAATTCAGTTTAAATTAGCAGTCACCTTTGCACAAATCATTTTAATTACAATTTATAATATCTAGAACAGCGGTCGTTTCGCATGACCGCCAGGCTTTCTAGTATTTCAATAATAATACTAACATTTACTTTACTTTTTATGCTAATTTTTACTTACATATTACTCCAAGCTTTTCTACCAACCTGAATAATTTCAAAACTTAGTCGTATAACCCCAAAACTATTACCATTGGTGATTAAAAATGCACTGTTGCCAATAGGTTCTCTGCAGAAGTAAACCCAAAGAGTTTATTGCTCCATGTTTAGTGTTTACATTAACTCTTGAAACAGTCTTACCCCTTTATGCTTGCTTCAATTTTTACTTTAAGCTGCTTTTATTTCATAAAAAGCAGATATTAAACTTGCTTTAAGTATAATATTAATATAATTTTTTATCATTCACCTTCTCATTTTTATATGAAGGATTTGAGAAAAATAGTTTTCGTTCCACTGCTAACATAAAAAATAATAATATAATAATTTTATGAATTCCTTTTTACATTTAATCCTTTCTAAGATGAAAATCCATTACTGTGGATGACAATGGTCTTTGCCGGAGATGGTCATCTTAGAGAAGTGATTTTCAATAACAATGTTTAGTTTTTCTCAGAAACAGTGATCACTTTCCGAGATGGTGCTTTATGAAAGTAGCACCACAAGAAGATTCAAAGTATTTATAACAAAACACAAAAAGCTACAAATATTTGAACTATAACTTATTTCAAAACATTTTAATTACAGATTAATATTCTACAATAATGTCATACAGAAATATAAATTAGTCAGCTAAATCAGAGAAAAAGCTATCTATCTGTTTATTCAACTGCTTTCCCTTCTTAGAGTCAACAACCTCTTCTGACTTAGCATCTTCTATACTTGACAAATCCCAAAATTTTATTTTTTGGTCATATGATGAACTTGCAACCACACTTGAATCATGAGAAACAGAAAGAGCTTCAACTGGAAAACCATGATGGCTTCCTAAAATTCCCAAGAACCTGTTAGGGAACAGCTGCACAGCTCTTATTTTACCATCTTCACAGCCTGTACATACAACATCATCACCAACAACAGCTAAAACATCAACAGTACCAGGATGGCCAGGAAATCTGTCACTTATGCTACCAAACTCACCCCAATTAAAAAAGTCCAAAGAACCATCACTATCACCAACAACAACTTTACTTCCATCTTTAAAAATAGCAGAAGATAATAATTCATAATCAAATGCTTCTGACTGTGCCATCATTTTCCCTGAGCGTACATTATAAGCTGAAAGCAGACCATCTCCACTGGTTGATAAAAGAATTTTTTTTTCTTTATTTACACACAAGCTGCTGATATAATCATCACAGTCTTCAAAACAAGCTATAGGAGCTTGCATTCGAAAATCCCATATAACTACTTGCCCTCCATCTTCTCCTGCAGCTAAAAAATAATCATCCACAGGTAATAAAGAATAAATAGGCGATCCATCTGGCCGGGAAAATTTACGATGCACAGAATTGGTTTCAAGGTCAACAACATAAATTGTTGTATCTTGGGAGGCTGTAAAAAGGTAATTTCCTGATTGTGAATATTTCACAGCTCTACAAGACTTTTTATGATGTTCAAAAGTAAGAATTTCTTTACATTCGCTATTTTTTTCAAATGAATACAAATGCACAGGACCATCAATAGTTCCAGCTGCTATCACATTTTTCTTGGGATGGCAACATATATCAACAATTACAGACTTCAGTTCAATATCTTTAGGGACATCAACTTGTGGCAATATTTCACCTTCTTCACTATCAATAAATGAAACATTATCATCGAATGATGACGCAGATTCATCATCACTGGATGTCATCCTTGTTTCTGGGAAAAAAAAAAGATTACATATTAATCAGAAATTAAACAATGAATACATTTATAAATTTATAAATATGTATCCCATCCCAGGTAAATACTTAAAATACAACTCTAGAGGATGGATGGAAATTCAAATTGAATCATTTTGTTTGAATAAAAAATAAAATAAATTATTATAGTTACATTAAAGATACATTCTAAAATAATGTATTTAAAAACTATAGATATGCTTAGAAAAGAACTGCAGATTTTAACTTTGTTTCTACCTATTCATTAAGTATGAAATGTGCAAACTAGAAGAGTCTAAGATTTGCCAATTGATATTCTGACTTAGAACAAAATCAGGCATTTGTAGTCAAGCTGTGTAAATATATCAATATTCTATTCTATCAAATGTTCATGTTGGTGTGTGTCTTTTGAAGTGTTCTACTAAAATGTACTCTAATTTCCACGGTAGGTGACCTTAATGCTGTTCCCACACAAAAAAAACCACTCATTTGCTTTCTGCGAATTCTACTTTGTTTACATTTCTTCCTTTGAACGGACCTATGTGCCTTACTCACCCTAAACGGCATTGTAACATTAACATTCTTTTTTTTTTTTTTTTTAGCCTTGTTCAAATCAGGATTTTCATCAGTTTAACAGTCTCGGTTCTCTATCATTTGATGAATCTTCCAGAACCCAGCATCTTCCTTTCCCTCCCCACTGCAAATCTACTGTGATTGTTTTCCCAATGTGGACATGATTCCAGCCGAGTTGCAATAACGAACTCTGACATATTCCTCCTTCAGCGTGAATCGATTGTTCTTGGTATCTTTTCTTGGTATCTTCAGATACAGATTTTGTCAGCTTTAGTATAAATACTTGTTGGAAAGATTTCAAGTAGAGAAGTTTATTGTGGTTTGGGGAGCCGACTGTGATACCAAAGGGCTCGGGTTCAAATTCCGGAGAAGGCATGGGTGTATTTGTTCATCCCCTCAGAGGAGGCAAAGGTGGCCCAGTTATTAGGTGCCTTCATAATAAAGTAACCACTGCTTCTGGCCTAGTATATATAGTAGTGGCCAATTTAAGTAAGAAGGAAGCGGGAAAATTTTTTTAATAGCACAGAAGCTATATTACTGGTTTTAAGCTTAAAGTAATTTCCCATGCTGAAGAAATTGGAAAGAGAGCAGCAATTTGAGAGTTTGAAGTAGATGAGAGATGCACTCAAAGTTGCAGAACCTAAAAAGATGCTGCAACAGAAATGAGCCAAAAGAAGTGGTACTGTAAGGTGGCCAAACCTAGAGGACGACGGAAAACTGGATAAAGGAGCAGCAAGGAAAAGAAATGGCAATTTTGACTGTAAAAATTCACTTAAGAGCAAAATTTAAGGCGAAGCAAATGAACATAACTTCAAAGGCCTTACTGGTGTAGCAGATTTACGAAATGAAAAAATATTTCTGTGTGTACTAGAATAACAGTCGGGCAACAATTACCAATCGACTGGCAGGTTAAAAAAAACAACTTTTCTAAAATGTGTGACAGATATTATTGATCACAAAAAAACTTCTTCCATTACAGATAATAAATATGGATGAAGCGCTGTTAGCTTTTGACTCTCCTGCAAACAAAACTGTTGATGAGTCTGGTGCAAAAACTATATATACTTGCGACAAGGCATGAAAGAATGTCATTTACATGAGTGTTAGCTTGTGCTGCAAGCTGACAAGCTAAAGCAGATATCATTTTTAAAAGGAAAATTACTCCGAAGGGAGATTTTCCTAATGACGTCATTATTTGTGCAAACGAGAATGGACGGATGTATGAAACAATCATGCTTGAGTGGCTACAAAAAGTTTGGCGACATCGTAAGGGATCTTTTTTTTCACCAAACGGATTGTTGATAATGGATTCCATGCATTCTCATTTACTTGAGTCAGTGAAAATCAGCTGTCAAAACTGTCTACGACATTAGCAATAATTTTTGGTGGTTTGACAAAAATCTTACAACCATTACATTTTTCAGGCAATAAATCTTTCAAAACTGAAATCCAAAAGTGTTCAGAATGTTAGATCAGTGAAGGATTACAAATGTATATATCAAAAGCCACAAAATGCGTAGAGCATCTTATGAAGAATTTGCAAAGTGGGTAGGAATTGCGTGGATATCAGTAAAAACATTGTCAATAACATCAAGGTTCAAAGTAGCTGAAATTACCGTAATTTCCGGAAGAAAGGCCGCATCAGCGTAAACGCCGCACTTGAGAAAAATGGCGGGAAAAAAATTAAAATTACACAGAAACGCCGCAATAGATTAAATTGCGCTTGACTTCGTCTGGGGCAGTATAGATGCAAAATCTCAATCTATGTCCTGATATATGACATATAAGTTACGAAAAATGCATGAAATGAAATCGTAACTTAAAAATAAATTAAAGGTAAGAAATGTTGAAAATATATTTACGTTTACGAATATACTTATATTTACCCGCTAAAGAAGTCCATATTTGTATTATATGGACTTCTTTAGTTTCAGACTATATTATAAAAATCTATATTATATCTCAGACTATATTATAAAAAATGTTGCAACAACGAACTATTAAATTTGGATTACAAAAGCAAATTTTAAATTTTACTTACAAAAGGAATTAAAGCAAACTATACATCATATGAAGCCATCAAAATCTGATTCTTCACTTTCTGAATTAAAAAGATTTAGTAAATCCTGATCTAAGTACAAGTCTTCCAGATCGCCACATTCATCCTCTTGGTTTACAGCCTCTTTATCTAAAGATATAATTTCAGCTTCTTTGAATCCTGCTATTACACGGTAAAAAAAAAGTTCGCTCTTTACAGGCAAAAGTTTTGTAAAGTTACAGAAATCAAAAAGTTACAGAATTTCCTGTAATGGGAACAGGTTGAAAGCAAACTGTAGCGGTAACAGCTGATTCGCCTGTAGCTGATTTGTTTGTAACATTACAGATAATGTTTCAGTAGCCGCGCGGAAGAATCACGTGACTGACTGGAAACTAGCCAATCTGTAGGAAAGTGTTTGAAAGCTAGTTCGCAGAAAAAAACATGGCTGAATGCATGTTGGTTTGTATAGCGCAGGTAAGTAAAAAAATGTTTACAATTACTGTTTGAAATATTTTTTGTTCATTTTATGCAGATTATTCTCATGCACTTTGCACTGTTATATGTAGTGAGTAAGTATTTAAACTTTTAAGCTTTGCGATTAATTAATATTCAGTGTTCATAATGTCTAATGAGTTGAAAGAGTGCAAAATACAGTGTCTCACAAAAGTGATGGGACACTTTGTGCTTTACGAAAGGAAACTAGTAAAATAAATTTAAAAAACATGTAAAAAATTTTGTGGGTGTGTTTCATACTTAAATTTAGTAACAATTATTACATAACTTTTCTCAAAATATTAAATAGTAATTTAATAAAAATACAATTGTTTAGAACGGGCAAAAAATGGCTCACATAAGTGATGGGACCTTACTTTTCCATCATATATTTATCCAAAATTTTACTTCTTAAAATGTTTTAATATTTTGTTGGATTTCCTTTTACTTTTAAATCGTGATTTAATCTTCTTGGGATGGATTCGACTAATTTTTTTGTGATTTCTGGAGTGATTTTACCCCATTCTTCTTGAAGCAATGATTTTAATTGTTGTTTTGAAGAGATGGTGTGTTTGCGAATTCTTGCCAAATATTCTCTATGGGATTTAAGTCTGGAGACTGTGGTGGTGTTTTTATTATTTCAGGACAGTTATACAGCAGCCAGAGTCTAACGTTCAAAGCAGTGTGCTTGGGGTCATTGTCCTGGCAGAATTTAAAATCGTTATGAAGGGTCAATTTTCGTGCTGAAGATTTCAAATTTTGATTTAAAATGTCAATATACTTGTACTGATCCATTATACTGTCAATAAAAACAAGATAACCAACTCCAGCGGATGACATACACCCCCATACCATAACTCCTCCTCCACCATGTTTTACTGTTGGCACCAAGTTCTGTTTGTGAAATTCTTTCCTGGGTTTTCTCTACACCAAGATTATACTATCAGAAGCAAATATATTAAATTTACTCTCATCAGCAAATATAACTTCATTCCAGTGATCAGAGTTCTTATTTATGTTGGATTTTGCGAAAGCCAGTCTGAGTTTTCTATTCTTTTCACTTACGAAGATTTTTTTCCTGGCTGCTCTACCGTGATATCCAGCACATCGAATTACTCTTCTAACAGTCTCAGGATTAACAATTACTCCATATAATGCTTGTAAATCAGCAGCAACTTTAGGAGGACTCATTCTTGGATTTTTTTTTAATATTTTGAACAATAATTCGTTTTATTCCATTGGATAGCTTTGATGGTCGGCCAGGTCTTCTTTTATCCTGAATCATATGATTCTTTTTATATCGTTTAATGATATTGAAAACTGTTGTATGACTCATGTTAACTGTTGCAGCAGTTTCTCTAATAGATTTTTCACGTTCAATATGCAAATTAATAACTAATTTTCGAATTTCAGGCAAAGTTTCTTTTCGTTTAGCATTCATGGCTGCACAGAGCTAAAAAACACAAAAATTCCAAAACAAACTGGAGAGAAAGACTGCAGACGATTTTATAAATTATTGATAATTGCTTTTGAGTAAAAATAGAAACCCCAAAAAATATTTTTATTGTAGTACGTAGTAGTATCTAATCGTGTCCCATCACTTATGTGAGCCATTTTTTGCTCCGTTCTAAACAATTGTAGTTTTATTAAATTATTATTTTAATATTTTAAGAAAATGTATGTTACATAATAATTGTTACTAAATTTAAGTATAAAAAACACCCACAAAAAATTTTTACATGTTTTTTTTTTTTAATTAATTTATTACAGTTTCCTTTTGTAAAGCACAAGTGTCCCATCACTTTTGTGAGACACTGTATTTATTCCAAATGCAGATCTAATAGTAGTATTTTGTCATTGTGCATCCGATAAATTACGCCTTAAATTGCCCGTAT